TTAAATATATCTCACTCTATTGCTCCCACACTTCAGTTACAAGAATTAAATATCACCCATCTGAATTCCTTCTCATTTCTTTTTCATTTAAATAAGTGATTTCACATATATTTTTAGTTTTTTTCTTCGTGATTTCGCCGTCTTAGTGCGATATTGTGTTGTCGTCGTCTTATTGCAATGTTATTTTGTTTTCCCGTCTTGGTGTGGTGTTTCTTTGGTTCAAATTGACAAATTAGTTTCAACTCATTCATATTCAACCAATGATTTTGAAATCGTCAACGCTGCAGACTCAGAGACATGAGTATTTCGATCATTTCAATTTCATTATATTTGTAGGCTTTGTCACATTTCTATAGGCATTTTGACGTTTTTAGTATAAAAAATTGTCTATTCTAGTTTTGCTAGATAAGTTGCTTATCTAAAATAAACATGCGATAAACGAATACACTCAAATCTCAATATTTATTGGAGAATCTCTCTCGAATTAAATTAAATGATTCTTTAAAGTTTAAATAAGATATGATTTTAATAATCTCTTTAAAAATATTTTAAAAATTATATTTTAATCTCTTTAAAAATATTTTAATACAATAAATTATATTATTTTTCAAAAAATATTCCTCAATATTATTTTATGAGCCTATTAAAAATAACTTCAAATTTAATAATTTTTTAAAATTGAAAAAAAACATAACGGAAAGATAAAATATTGAAATCAAGTTTTAACGAAAATCTATTTAAACTATTTTTAATTTGTAGTTTCTTTTTAAAAGTGTTTTTTTTCCTTATCTTTTATATATATATATATATATATATATATATATATATATATATATATATATATATATATATATATATATATATATATATATATATATATATATATATATATATATATATATATATATATATATATATATATATATATATATATATATATATATATATATATATATATATATATATATAAAATAGTCACATTAAAGAAATCTATAACAAACAAATATATATCGTACAAATACATATGTTTTTAAAACAATTTTATAACATGTTGTATAACTCTTTTTATAATAATTTTGTTCTGGATTGGACCTGTTCTTGGTCCAATCCTCAGTTAGGCTTAATCCAAGTGTGTCAATATGCCGCATTGACCGATTCTACCCTCGAAGACGGCGGGCAACTACCACCTTTTTCTCACAAGGAGACAATCTCACTACACGGGAACAACACTTTGAGTAGACTAAGGACGGTCACCTCCGATCATGAAGGCTTCGAGGATATTCCGACTAGCTCGTCGACCAAGACTGGTCTCCTCACTCGACCTCACGTATGGCGGGGATCACCCACGACGGGAATATGCTCCTCCCGAGCATCCTCCTCGTAGGGCTCACTACCAATGTCTCCGGATATCACAGTCTTCGTGGCCCCGAAAAGATCGCATCCATATCCTCCTGACTTTGCGGAGGACGTCATCCAGATAGAGGACCATGTGTGGGTCTCCATTACTCACGTAGGACTTGGAAGTCTCTATGTTGGGCCTGCTTGACCAGTCCAATGTAGAGACCTTACCCCAGCGTTGTGGGCTATAAAAGCCCTCTCTTTCGAGAGTGTCAGGTATTCAACACTTTCTTACTCTCACGCTTGCTTATTCATTCTCTAACTTACTTTGGTATCAGAGTGTCTTGCAGGTACCCTATCTCATTCAAACTCTACTGGGTGAAGCTGTGATGGTCCATTCTGATCCGGTACGATCAATTTTCATATTTAAAAATTTTAAAATAGAAATATTTTTAATAAATATTGATAACACTATTAAAACTAGCATTTATTGATGATTTATTATTGAGTTAATGGTTATTTTGTCCCTTTTCATATATGCGGGTTTTAAAAAAAACCCCTAAAAAAGTTTTAAAAATCTCCTTACCATATGAAAATTTTTGCTCCTTCAAAAAATTTATTCATCAATAATCTATTAAATTTTAAGTAATTTATCATTTGTTTTTAAGGATTTATATATATTTTGCCCCTTGTCAAATTGACAATTTTTTGAAAAATTCTTTACCATAATGACAAATTTTAAAAAATTCTCTTGTCATGTTATTATTTTTTTATGTTTATAATTTTTGAGGGGACAAAACAGAAGAATCTTTGCATGACAGAAATTTTTGAAATTTTTTTTATAAGGATATTTTTCAAAAATCGCTTATATGACAAGGAAAAAATAACTATTAACCCTTTATTATTTTATTTTTTTTTAAATATAATTTTGACAGTATTACATATATTTGGTAAAAAAAACTTTTTAAAAAAAAAAAAGGTTTAAATGAAATAATAAATTTAAACAGTTTCTTATCAATATTTTATTAATTTTTAAGTTAATAGTTATTTCGCCCTCTGCTATATAAGTGAGTTTTGAAAAACCTGAGTAAAAGAAGAAAAAAAAAAGTTTCGAAATTTTTCATGTCATAGGAAGATTCTTCCATTTTACTCCATCAAAAAATTTAAACATAAAAAATAATAATTTGATAGAAGAATTTTTTCAAAAATTGCCAATTTAACAAGAATTTTTTCAAAAAATCATCAACTTATCCAGGGACAAAATATATATAAATCCTTTAAAACAAGAGATAAATTTCACAATTTAATAGATTATTGATAGATAAAGTTCTTGAATGGACAAAACAGAAAAAAATTTATATAAAAAAGATATTTTTAAAACTTTTTTTTTACAAGAAGATTTTTCAAAATTCATTTATATGACAAAAACAAAATAACTATTAACCTTTTACTCTTTTTCCTTAAACCATATATAAATATTAAAATTTAAATAATAATTAAAAATATAAATATTCTCAAAGAGATTGTGAATTAAATTATCGATAGGGTTTAAATAGTATTAATTTATTATATAATAAAAATAGCAAAATATTAAAGATTCATTTATTATACCTTTTTCTAAATACGATTTTTTATAACATTAAATATATTTAGTAAAGTATTTTTCTTTACAGAATATTGTCTGGTATAAAAATCATATTTTAAAAAATATCTATAATAAAGAAATATGTGTAATGCCATTTTATATTTAAAGTTTTATAGACTTTCATTAAAATCTTATTTAAATATTTCTATCTTTTTCTTTATGTTACTTATTAAAATTATAAAAATTTATTAAAACTATTTTAAATAGATTTTCATAAAATAATAATTTAAAATTTCAATTTATTATTAGAAAGAATATTTTTATTTCAAGAATAAATTTAAAGATTTATTTCAAATTTCAAACCCTCGATTTCATTAATCTAACAGTTTTAATTTATTCTTTATATAGAAAAATATTTATAAAAATAATTTGATTAAATAATCAATTAAAGTTGTTAGATTAATAAAAATAAAAGATTAAAATTTAAATTAAGTCCTTTAAATTTAATTTACTCTTGTAAAATAAAATTTCCTCCTCATTTATGTAATCAGCATTTTTAAACATGATTTTTATAACATTAAATATATTTTTTAAATAAGTATGTTTTTTTTAGAAAAAAACTTTAAATAAAAAGTGACATTACATATATTTGGTAAAGAAAAAAACTTTAAATAAAAAAAACAATTTAAATAGATTTTCATTAAAATTTAATTTAAATATTTTTATCTTTTTGTTATTTATTTTTCTAAAATTTAAAAATTTAAAAATAGATTTTCATAAAATTACTATAAAAATAAATAATATACATGTCATATTAAAACAATTATTTAATTTTTAAAAAGAAATTCTCCAATTAATATTATGGTTTGACAATAATTAATAGAATTCAATATCTAAATCGAATTTCACTTTATAAAAGTTATAGTTGATAATTTTTGTTTTTCATAATATTCAACTGTTCTTTGAATTGCCTTTTATATAATTTTATATTTATCTTCTTATTAATTATTATTATTATTTTATTGTACAATATCACTCAATACGAGGTGGAGTGCAATGGTGGTTGATATTAGAAAGATGATGAATCAAACTATTAATAAAATTTAAATAATAGTATTTATTTGCTATATAATAAATTTAATAAAATATTGAAGGTTCATTTATTATAATTTTTTAATATGATTTTCATAACATTAAAAATATTTAATAAATAAATACATTTTTTCTAGAAAAATAAATAAATAATGTTATTACACATATTTCTTTATTATAGATTTACTTAAATATGAATTTAATAGCATACCGTACTTGGTAAAGTAAACAACTTTAAATAAAAAAATATTTCTTTGTTATAGATTTTCGTAAATATGAATTTAATAGCATAACATATATTAGGTAAAGAAAAAAACTTTAAATAAAAAATAAATTTAAATAGATTCTCATTAAATCTTGCTTTAAATATTTTTATCTTTTTCATATACCTCTTTTTAAATTTTTATTAAATTATTAAAAGTTAAGATTTTTCATAAAATAATTATTGAGAAATTTTCTCTTTTGAAAAATTATGTAATTTTATTATACCAAATTTATATAATTTGATTATTATTTTTAATTATTTTATTCATTTGTGTTTTCTATTCTACAACAACACTCAATACGAGGTGGTGTGCGAGAGTGGTAGGAAACAACCAGTCGCTGACCGTGTGCACAACAAAGTACCAACGTTGTTTTCTCAAAATTTCATTCATCATCAATTGTCACCAAAATTTTTTTTTTCTTCATGTAAAAATTAAATTACATGTGACCATTCAGTTTCTCTTCTTCTTCTTCCTCTGACTTTTATCACATCACTGTTCCTGTACCATAGTATTTTTTATTTTGCGATAAGATCCAAAATAAAAAACCACCCTTTAAGTTCTGTTCTTCAGAAAAGTCTCCATTTTGTTAAGACCCATGTTCCATAATCTTGTTCTTACCAACCTCACATATTCAAAAGTTGACTCAGCTTCAATTTAGATCCATAGCGTAGAGGGTGGTTACCATAGAAAATTTCATATTTTTGAGTGTTTTAAGCAAGATGCAATCGAGGGTTGTGGCATCTGAAGAAGGTAAAACAAAAGGGTTATCACTAGGATCAATGCGTTTATTTGTTGTTTTCATTGCTCTATGTGTTGTGTTTTCTGTGATAAGCATATATACTATTAAGCACTTTGGAATTAAGAGTGTGGTTACTACAATGAGTTCAACTTTTCAGCCATGTGTTGAGGAACACGGTGGTTTGGAACAATGGATTAAACCTCCTTCGACTCTGATCCATAATATGAGTGATAGTGAACTTCTTTGGAGAGCTTCTTTGGTTCCTAAGATTAAAAATTACCCTTTTCGAAGAGTTCCAAAGATTGCTTTTATGTTTCTTACTAAAGGACCATTGCCTCTTGCACCTCTTTGGGAGAGGTTTCTCAAAGGGCATCACAATCTTTATACTATTTATATTCATCCTTTTCCTTCTTATCAAGCTCACTTTCCTCCTTCATCTGCTTTCTATAAGAGGCAAATCCCTAGTCAGGTATGTAGATTTTGATCTTGTCATATTATTTTATTTGTGAAACTTTATTTGTAGAGGCTTTACTTGATCTGAAGTTAATACTAATAGTGCTTAATTTGTGCTAGTTTAGTTGTTTATATTGCTAATCTGATATTCACATGTTGTGTGTTTTTATTTGGTATTGTTTATGCTTGTTTTAAGGTTCTGATGTGAATTTTTGTGGTTATTGATTGTGGCTGATATGCAGTTTATTACGGTTGTAACTTACTTTCTGATTTCTGTTCTGGTTGTGATGTTGATTTTTGTTATTGTTACTTGATTTTGTGCATCGGGATACTAGAAATAAGGAAGAGGCTGATATGAGGGTATTCAATTATTAGAAGAGTTCTGAATTTTACTGAGAAAATAAACATGCTTTTGGGTTGTGTGTTCATGAGTGGAAGCATAGTAACGCGTTTGCATATGTGACCTAATTACGTGTTCCTAGTTAGTAGTTGTATGTTCAGAATTGTCCCTTTTCATCATGGTTTGTGTAAATCTTATGCAAAGTCAGAATTGTTCGAATTCTGCTATGCTACAATGCTATAGCACAGCTGTAGTTTCTACCAAACAACACTATATTGAACAGCGTATTGCAGAGCAGTACCGATTTGTTTAAAATCTACTATGCTATAGTACTATAGTGCCCGCTATTAGCCACTATTTGATAACACTGTCCTTGATATTTTGTTAAAGTGATTATTCCCTTAATGATAGAACTCAGAAAATTAGGTAGCGGAATGTCTCTTATTGAACGGAAAATTAGTGAGGTCAAGGATCTACAATGGTGAAAAAAGAAAAAGAGAATGTAAACCAGAGTTCTATGAACTCCTAAGCTAGAGAGAAATCTCTTCTACCTATCTCTAACAACTTTTCCGCCTCCCTCTCTCCTATAACAGAAATTCCCTTTCTAACATAATATTGCCACGTCATTCCTATTTTCTTTTTCAGACTCTACTAGGCTAAGGCTCAGTCCAGTATCCTTTCCTTACCTAACATTCCATATTACCAGGATGATGGACGATAAATGAGATAAAATTTGGAGAACTAGCTTACTTGGTTGGCAGCCAGTGTAGTCAAGATTGAGTGTGTAAGATCTTACGTGTCAAGCATGTTTGAGAGTGCTACGCTTAGAGAAAGATCATTTTCGTCGCTGGTGCTGTCAAGATCAAGCTTCTTGAAGCAAGATCGTAAAAAAACGTGCTGGGCCTTTTTTGGGGCCTGATTTGTCATTTTCATTTATTTTTTTTTCGTGTGTATAAATATGTATTACATGCCGTGCTAACAATCCGAGTTTTACAATTTTTAACAAGTCAACGGGTCCTACTTAAGATCTCGTGCTTGATTACATTGTTGGTAGCTTTGAGCAGAGAAGAGATCATAAAATTCAATTGCTGATGAATGTTAGGTAAGCTTTCAAATGTGTTGGTTTATGTTAGTTGAGGGATTTAGAGTTAGTTAATGCTTGTAGGTTAGAAATTGGAATTCCAGTAGAGTTTGGCAGAGACGGTCTACAAAGATATAGGGATAGAAGATTAGGCGGCATAGACCATGGTTGCCAAAACTCTTAACTCATAGAACCACACAAGAATAGACTCTACTTATTAAAATCAAGCTATCTAGCCATTAATATCGTTAGACTCACATGTTAGAGAATAATAGTTTTGATGAACAGTTGGTGTAAAACTTGGGCGAGAGAATCCAAATCCTGTTTCTCGCTGCATTTACTTCTTGCGGCTCTCACTCTCTACTTGATGCTTCTCTCTCCAGCAACCTTTTGTCATCTCTGTGCGGATCTAGTGGAGAATGGATCATCTCCTGCCTGTAGGTTGTGCTATCTATCCTGCATTTAATCTAATGGCTGAGAGAAACTATAAAGAAAAATAAATAAATAAGATTATTTAGAAGAGAGAGAAACATGACATAAATGTAATGAGTGCAATTAGCGTTAAACAGCAGATGGAAGCAGGGCATGTACATGGTAAATTGTGTTTGGAGCCTTTGATGTGTGTTCTAAACAGTACTTTTGAAATAAGTTGATTTGTGTGTTGAATCTGAGAGTCAAGTTTACATTGACTCTTGAGTTTTACAACTTTAGATTAGGTGTATTTTCTTGAGTTGAGACTGGTTTTGGTCATAACCTAGGGAACCCCATCTCACCCATCGTCTTTTTCATTCCGCCGGGCATTGTGCTGCTCCATATGTGCTCAACCTGTTATCACCTTCTGTTAAAACCATGTAACCAAACCAAATATATTTATTGGTAACAAAAACATCAGAGTGAGGGATTTTGCCTTTCATGAGTTAGATAGTTTGGGACACATAGAGGTAGAGGGGGCGCCAAAGGGGGAAAGGAGAATGGCTTCACATTGGCCGGTGATTGCCATAGCGACCATGTAATGCGGTGGTGACGAAATGGCCTGAAATATTCTCGTCTTAGCAATGTTTCACGGGAGAAGTTAGCACCTACATACACTGGTGCAGCAGAGCTCTTTGTGCATGGTAGCCACCAGTATCACCTGGGTCCGATATTTTGTTCCCACTGTTTTTTATTTACCGCACTTTGTGGTTTTCCAAAATCATTTATCTTGTGTAGTTTTCAATGTTATATATTCGTTTGTTTGAACCTTTATTTTCATCCAAATATTGAAAGTACGTCAAAGGCTATGATAATAGTTTTCTTCTGAACATGAAAGTTTCTTATGCTGAAGTTTCATTATTCACTCATCCGGCTGTGCAGGTTGCTGAGTGGGGAAGAATGAGCATGTGCGACGCCGAAAGAAGACTAGTTGCCAATGCACTACTCGACATCTCCAATGAGTGGTTTATCCTATTATCTGAGTCATGCATCCCTCTCTACAAATTCAGCACAGTCTACAACTACTTATTGAAATCCAAATTCAGCTTCATCGGCGCGTTTGATGATCCTGGTCCATACGGAAGAGGACGCTACAACCCAAACATGGCTCCTCTAGTAGACATTACAAAATGGCGTAAAGGCTCTCAATGGTTCGAAGTAAACCGAAAGCTCGCCGTCAACATTGTGGAAGACACCGCGTTTTATCCTAAGTTCGAACAATACTGTAGACCGGCTTGTTACGTCGACGAGCACTATTTTCCAACCATGTTAACAATTCAAGCGGGGAGTGCGTTGGCGAACCGGAGCATAACTTGGGTGGACTGGTCTAGAGGTGGGCCCCACCCGGCGACATTTGGAAAAGCGGATATCACAAAGGAGTTTTTCAGTAGAGTTCTTGGAGATCAAAAATGCATATATAATAATAGAAACTCTTCGGTTTGTGTTCTTTTTGCTAGAAAATTTGCACCTAGTGCTTTGGAACCTTTGTTAGATATGGTGAATTCAAAAGTCTTAGACTTTTGATAAACATATAGATGTAGAATAAAAGTCTATAGAAAAACTAGAAATTTTGTTGTATGGCATGACATGGTGATTGCTTAATTGATGATGGTAGTGATGACCTCAATTTTCATAGCTTTTGAGTCATTTTTGAATGTACAAAGGAACGTATTGGATCATACATTTGTTTCATTGATTGTTTGGATCTTTATTTTTAACCTCACTATAATGGTGAATGCTCTCATAGTATAACATAGTTTTACATTTTCTTCAGTGATTTGTTGTCTGGGTATGTTCTATTTTCTCTTAACCTTTTTGTTCTGGATTGGGTCTGTACTTGGCCCAAACATTATACAAGGTCCAATCCAACTATGCTGCAGGAGAAGATCAACAGAAGAGAATATGCCCTTGACTATGTTGGACAGTGATTCCACTCTTCTTGTCGACCAGGATATGTCCTCCGGAGACAACCTCACCACATGATTGGCGAGTAGGACCAACGACACTCAAGAGGTCCTCGAAAGCATCCTCCTCGTAGGGCAGACATCCAACGCCTCAAAATATCACGAAGTTCTCTTGACCCCGAAAAGACCACATCCACGTCTTCCGGACAATTTGGAGGAGTCCATTCAGGTTGGAGACCACCTGCTAGCCTTCACTACACACGTAGGACCTGATAGTCTCCATTTTGGGTCTGCTTGGTCAACCCAACATGGGGACCTTGACCCAATGATGGGGCTATAAATACCCTCTCACTTGAGAGGGTCAGGTTTCATTTTCATTCATCCATATTCTCACATTCTACTTGCACTTATTCTGAACCTTACTTTGGCATCAGAGTGTCTTATAGGTACCCCCTACTTCGCATTCAACCACTGCTCGACTTAAAGCTCGTGGGTCTTGACAATCTCTTTTGATTGATGACACACAAATATGTGATATTTCTGGCTTGATATACACCAAATATTTCTCATAATTTAGTTTAAATTAAATTATTTTATAAGTATTATGCAGGTATTTTTCTATTTTTGCAGATATGCACCGAGCCGAACACTTTTGAAGAAATGAAGAAAAAAGGGTGCAAAAAGTAGTAAAAAGGCCTAAGGAGAAGAAACCAGCCCAAAAGCCCATCACACATGTGAGCACGTGGCCCACAAGTAAGAAAGCCCTGACGACCGTCAAGGGGACGTGACGAACGTCACATGCCATAAGACCAAGTGACGATAGTCACTTGAGTGTGACGAACGTCACAACCCATTACTCCACTTTCTCCTCATCCAACGGGCAGAAGCGCGTTCAAGGGTTAATCCAACGATGTCCTACATTTTCTCACCCACTCAGTCAAAGGAGCAACGAACGTGACAATTGAATAGCCTATTATTTCTCAAAGAAGGAAGTAAATTGTTCTTATATTTTCGAGAGCAACGGATCAAGCAAGCACTATAAATAGAGCCTGAGACCACAGTAGAAAGAGTGCTTTTTTTTGGCAAGAAAGTTTAGAGATTTTATTGGGCGAATATTATTTTTAGCAGAATATTATTTTCAGCAGCATTCTTTTCAACATTATTTCTTTTCCCAGTTATTTCTTTCCAGCATTATTCTTTTCAGTTTTATTTTCTTCTGTACGGTTAAATATATCCTCCGATCGAAGCAAAGCCTACAATTTGTGCAAGAGTGCTTCTGTCTTCAGAGTTATTTCCAGGTTTATGTTTACAAATTCTTATTGTCTATTAATTAATATAATCATGCTTATTTGTGTTTATCCTTTAAATTATTCTGCGATTTGGTTTAATATTATGTCAGGCTAGAAATCTTATACCGGTATGTAAAGTCAATCAACTGAGGGAACGAGTAGCTTAGTCGGGACTATTTTTACTACGAAACTTTCTTTTCTGGCCTAAGTTACTATTTTTCAAATCATTATTGTTTTGTTACGGAAGTAAAAAAACGGATAGAGGTTAGGGTCAACAAAGCGGAAGTTTGAGATCTTTTAACTGGACAGTAGTAATTAGGCATTGGCTTAAAATACAACGGAAGCACTTTAAAGTTAATTAAGATTTTGTTTAGTTTCCAAAAAGTGTTTTTAACTCCTGCGGGATGGCGGAAGCGTACGTTAGGACTTAACTGCATAGCCTAGATCAACAAAACGACAGTGTGAGACGAGGGTTTTTAAACTAGATAGGTTTTATTGAAAACTGTTTTGAAAATATAAAGACGCCCGACAGGTCGCTAGTTCTCGAGGTACGACTGTTGCATGCTGGTAATTTAGCTCATTGATTATTAAAATACAACTTAATTTAGTAATTAGTTTCTCCTACAACCCAAATCAAATATTCATTAGCTTTAGATTTACAAAGTAACAATAGAAGACGGTAGATCGATTCATCAGTCTCTGTGGTTCGATATCTTTTAAAACTACTCGACAAGACTGTGCACTTGCAGTCCGAATCATTGGATACATAAGTACAAATCCCACGACCAAGTTTTTGGCGCCGTTGCCGGGGACTGATTTAAGTCGATATCGCTACTCTTTCGTTACGCAGTAGAGACTAGAGCAAAAACTTCTCTCTTTCTTTTCTATCTCTATTTCTTTTCTTTTCTTTTCTTATTTGTATGCCAAACACTCGTTCGCAAGGCGAGCCGTTATACATACAAATCAACGATATCGAGCGTTATCTCAGACTTAGATGCCGCATTCAAGAGTACCATCTCTTGCATAACACTCAACCTCGTCAATCACTCGAACCTCCTATTTCTCGACCAACCGAAGAGATGGCTGCCAATCCTGCTCCGCGCCCACTCAAATCCTATGACATACCCTCACAAGATGAACCACATAATAGCATTGCTGCCCCTCCAATCGAGGCTAACAACTTTGAACTGAAACCCTCTTTGTTATCTGCTGTGCAACAGAACCAGTTCTCTGGTGGGTCGATGGAAGACCCTAATCTTCATCTATCAATATTTCTACAGTACGCAGATACAATCAAGAACAATGGGGTCAGTCAAGAGGCAATAAGACTTCGTCTCTTCCATTTCTCTCTAAGAGACAGAGCAAGAGCTTGGCTCCAATCTCTACCCGCAAACTCAATGACTACATGGGACAAGCTGAAGAAAGTCTTTCTTGCGAGATATTTTCCACCAAGTAAAACAGCTATGCTAAGATCTCAGATAAGCGATTTTAGACAAAAGGAGAACGAATCCCTTTTCGATGCTTGGGAAAGATACAAAGATCTGATGAGACTATGCCCACATCATGGCCTGGAAGAATGGTTAATTATCCACACCTTCTATAATGGTCTCCTCTACAATACAAGATTAACAATAGACGCTGCCGCAGGTGGTGCACTTATGGACAAATCCTACACCGCTGCCTATGCTCTAATTAAAAGTGTGGCCCAAAACCACTATCAGTGGGGAAGTGAAAGAGGACACGCAGACAAAGGTACTACAGAGAAAGCACCGACAAAAGGAGGAATGTATGAGATAAGCGACCTAGACAGTGTCCACGCTAAGGTAGATGCCCTCACCCTAAAGATTGATAATTTGACCGCAATACCTCCAGCCACCGTGGCTGCTATAACTCCCAATTGCGAAATATGCGGAGTGCCTGGACATCTAGTTACTGAATGTAAGATCTTGGCAGGAACTCAAACTGACCAAGTCAATTATGTCCAAGGAAACCCTTACTCAAACACGTACAACCCTGGATGGAAAAATCACCCAAATTTCTCATATAAAAACCCCAATGCGTTGTATGCTCCGAACCAAGCACCTGCCGTACCACCTGGATATCAGAAAACTCCTGCAAATGCTCCTAGTGCACCTAGAAAATCAAACTTAGAACTGATGATGGAGAACTTCATAGCTACCCAAGCGTAAACAAACAAGGACGTCCAAAATCAGAACATACACACTAATGAGCAGATAAAACAATTAGCAAACGAAATAGATGCTTTGGCCACCCACAATAAAATGTTAGAAACCCAAATCTCTCAAGTGGCCCAACAACAAGCACCTACAGCCGCACCGGCTGATACATTTCCCGGTCAACCACAACCTAACCCGAAGGGGCATGCTCATTCCATCATATTAAGGAGTGGAACCGAGTTAGATGGACCGCCTGACCCAAGACTGTCAAATCAAAGTATGTATCAAAGGGCTGAAACATCAACTGAGAAGGAGAATCAACCAGAGAAACCAGAGGTAGATGACGAAGATAAAGGAGGAGAGGCCAAAGAAAAAGAAAAAGAAAAAACTTATGTGCCTCCACCGCCTTATAAACCCCAAATCCCTTTTCCCGGTAGATTAGCCAAACCCAAGAATGCAGGGCAATTTAAGAAATTTGTAGAACTTCTGAAACAACTTAATATAACAATTCCTTTCACAGAAGCTATAACTCAAATGCCCTCCTATGCCAAATTCCTCAAGGAAATCTTATCTAACAAGAAAAAGCTAGAAGATAACGAAACAGTAACGCTTACAGCAGAATGTATCGCGATTATCCAAAACAAGATGCCTCCTAAGCTGAAAGACCCCGAAAGTTTCTCTATACCATGCCATATAGGTAAGTTCGTCATAGACAAAGCCCTATGTGATCTAGGCGCTAGTATTAGCGTTATGCCTTTATCCATATGCAACAAACTGGAAATGGGTGAACTAAGACCAACAGAGATGTCCGTTCAATTAGCGAATCGCTCCGTCAAATACCCAGTAGGAATCTTAGAAAATGTTCCTGTACGAATAGGCCAATTCTACATCCCTACAGATTTCATAATCATGGACATTAGAGAAGACGAAAGCACACCTATCATCTTAGGAAGACCGTTCCTAGCCACTGCTGGAGCTATTATAGATGTAAAAAAGGGCAAATTAACCTTTGAAGTAGGTGAAGAGAGAGTCGAATTTATTCTAACACAATTCTTACAAGTTTCCACCATAGATGACACATGTTATCTGGTGGACATCGTGGACGAATGCGTAAGAGAAATTGAATGGGAACCAATACCTTGTTCCGAAACCAT